GCCACACACAGTCACTGCCTACTCCCCCAGCACACAGCTACACAACCACCTCCTCCCCCGGCACCCAGAGCTCAATGCAGAGCCCTGAGCTGCGGCCTCACTCAGCCACCCCCAGGTGGGAGCCCTCAGGTGACCTTCACCTGCACTCTGGGCCTGGGGCTCCCAACCAGGTGCTGAGGCTGCCCCAGTTTACAGTCAACAGGGGCCTGTGTGGGCAGGTCTAATCCCCCCCGGGGCCAGCGACGCAGCCGGGAAAGGGGCAGATCTGACCAGTGTGGGCCAGCGAGGGACGAGCAGGGCAGCGTAACCCTCTGCTATAAAACCCCCTGGCTCCCTCCCGCCCCAGCTGTGCCCAGCGATGGCTGCCAAGGTAGAGGTGAGGCTCAGCGGGCACCCAGGGGCGCTGGCAGGGGCCCAGGAGCATGTCCAGGCCGTCACCAGGAATTACGTCACCAACCCCAGGCTGAGTGAGTACCGTCGGGGGGGCCGTGTCGGGGGGGCTGTGCCGGGGGGAGGGGGGCTGGCGAGAACGCCCCCCCTGCAACAGCTGTTCTTACCCCCCCATCCATAATGTTAGCCCTGCTAGCACCCAGCCTGGGGCTGTGTATGGGGGGGGGCAGCAGGGGGAGGGGAGAACTGTGGGGACTTGAGCTCTTTGCATTTAGGCCCCCCAAGGTCTGTGTGGTTTCCACCTTGGCTGGATGTGGTGACTGGGTGTGGGGAGCTGGACTTCTGGGTTCTTTCCCCTGCTCTGCGGCCCGGGGCAAGTCACGTCCCTGCCCCATGCCTCAGTTTCCCCACCTGTCCTTTCTGAGCGGCTGGAGCACCTCAGGTGAAGTGCCAAGCCTGGTACACGTTTCTGGGAAGTGCACGGAGGGATCCTTCCGCAAACCCTGGCAACTGAGGGCATCTGTATGGCAGGCTCAGGGGGGCTCCCTTCCCCCAAGGGGTGTACATGGGGCCTGTTGGATTGGAGTCCTGAACTCCCTCTAGGACGGGAACCCTTTTAGTCTCTGTCTTCTGCCTCCTCCTTGTGTTAGCTGCACCCCCAGCCCAGAATGACTGAGAGGAAGTGACCCTGGAATGGTGCCAGGGCACCGTTTCCCTGTGGCTATGGGGCTGACTCACCTGCCCCATAGCTTCTTACAACGCTTGGTGTTCACACTGCGGCTCGCTGTCTGGGAGGCTGTTTCATACTGAAGTAAAAGGGTGACATTTACCCCAAAGAGAAGGGCACTGGGCCAGGTTCTGTTCTCAGCAACTCTGGCATAAATGCGGAGTGACTCCAGCAAAGCCGATGGAGTGACTCCAGATCTACACCAGTGTAAATGAGAACAGAATCAGGCTCAGAAAGTGGATTGCTCAGTGAGAAACTTTAGATGGCAAAGGAGTCTATCTCTTCCCAAATTCTGTATAGAAGTCACTTGGCAAAGTACTCCGCAGTCTCCACCATTACCCCTCCTCCCCTCAGGTGTTGTGAGTGGGTGAGAGAGAGAGAGATTGGGTTCTGTTTGTGTGTTTAGTTGTGTGTGTGTGTGTGTGTGAGAGAGAGAGAGAGAGAGAAAGAAAGAGAGAGAGAGATAGGGTTCTGTTTGTGTATTTAGTTTTGTGTGTGTGTGAGAGAGAGAGAGATCGAGATCAGGTTCTGTTTGTGTATTTAGTTGTGTGTTTGTGTGTGAGAAAGAGAGAGATTGGGTTTTGTTTGTGTATTTAGTTGTGTGTGTGTCAGAGAGATCAGGTTCTGTTTGTATATTTAGTTGTGTGTGTGAGAGAGAGAGAGAGAGAGAAAGAGACAGATCAGGTTCCATTTGTGTATTTAGTTGTGTGTGTATATGAGAGAGAGAGAGAGATCAGGTTCCGTTTGTGTATTTAGTTGTGTGTCTGTGTGTGTGTGTGAGAGAGAGCGAGAGAGATTAGGTTCTGTTTGTGTATTTAGTTGTGTGTGTGTGTGTGTGTTTACTTGCCTGTCTTCCTCTCTGCCTCTGGACACGTGCAGACTGCAGGTCTGGGTGTGCGTGGCTGTCTCTGTGTGCAGACATGAGTGTCTGTGTCCCATCCACACAGCCAGCGCCTCAAGTCCCCTGCCTTGCAAATGCTCCCAGCTAACCTTGCCCAAGGAGAACTCCCGGAAGAGGTCCCAGTAGCTCCACTCCCTGACGTCAGCCCAGCCTGACAGCTTCTCAGAGTAATACACAGCCCTGCAACGGGCACTGGGGCCCCAAATGTGCACCGCTCCCAGGTCACGGCTTCTTCATGAGCAGAAGCAACAGATGAGCTGAAGTCTTTAAACAAAACCAGTCTCCCCCAGCCACTCAGACAGCAGCACCTGCTGCTTGCGTGCATCCCGTGGACTGGCTTGTGTGTATGCGGCACTCCCACCCTCCACTGGATGGAATCAGAACTGCTCAAGCGTGTGTCATGGGCCCTGCACTGCACACAGCTACCGGAGATGCTCTACAGGCTTGGCTTGTGGAACAGGAGGATCTGAGTTGTGTGCCCCGCTGATGCTGAGTGGCCGAGGGATGCAGGGGAAGGAATCTGCAGGGGACTGGCTAGCGTGGGGGTGGGCTACAGAGCCTTTTCCTCTCTAAGGCACCTGTTCCACTCAGCCCATCAGTCCAGACAGGTGACGGCTACTGAGTGGACTTTGAGCACTGAGTCTGGAGAGGAGGGAGACTCAAGTCCAGGTGTGCACCTCGCACTAACGGCCAGCACGGTGGGCACTAATTGGCCCCTTGTTGGCAATCTGTGTAGAAAGGGCCTCTGGAGAGAGACCAGCCCGCTCATCCCTAGAGCTGGTCCCTCCCTGCTAGAGCAGCATGGGGGAGCCTTCAATTCCTCAGTCCCAGTCCCGGGCCTCAGTTGCTTGGCCACCCGTGGCATGAGCCGGGGCAAAGCCTTTATCCACCCAGTCCCCTGGGTTGTGGGCACAGAGCGGAGGGGCCGCACCTGCCCCAGTAATTCAGCGCAGGTGCCAAAACCGGTGGGTGCATGTTTCGCAGGCCCCGCATGTGTTTGCGAAAAGACCACCTGGGTCTGATTCTCTTGGCACGTCCCCCAGCTCTGCGCTCGGGCGAGCCCATTGTTACTCCGGATTGACACCCGTGGAAGTGAGAGGAGACCCAGGCTCTCTCTGCCTGTGGTTAAACAGCTGGGGTGCGCTGTGACAGCAGCGTTCCAGGCAAGCACGTATCGGCTCTTCGGTACCTGGTGCTCCCTGTCCCCCCTCAGTCTGGCCTTAGCCGGCTGCCTCAGGGCCCAGACTGTCTGTGTTTGTACAATGCCGAGCCCAGGGGGCCTGGTGTGTGACTGAGGCCCTAGATGCGATAGCAATACCGAATACTTGGAAGCTAGCTGGCTATCCATCCCACACTCATCAGCGTGGTAGCTGGCGCTCCCTGCCTCAGTTTCTCCCGCTGTACAATAGGGTTAAGTACTAATCAGCCCCTGTCTCCGGGACGTGTTGGGTGCTTGTCAGGTAGTATTGGATTCGTGTGGGGCAGGGGCCAGGGAGGGGGAAGGACGCTGCGGCTGCTGTTCTGTACAGCTGCCCTGAGATCAGGAAGGCCTGAAAGCCACTTTCCTTTGCCTGAATGCTCCCCTCGCCGTGTGCCGCGATCTCCGTGTCCAGTTCAAGGCGAATCCAGAGCGCCCTGGTCAGGCTCTGCCTCCGCTGCATCTGTTTACCCTCACCCGGAGCTGAACCGGTCCCGCGGAACAGCTCGTGTTTGCTGTCAACAGCGCAGGCTGGGCTCACCGGGAACAGCGGCTCTCCTCGCCCAGTCCGACCAGGAAGGGGTTGCCTTGCCCTTGGGCAGCTGCAGGGGCAAGGGAGCGCTCAAAGCCAGGAGGCAAAGCCCAGAGCCAGTTTGAGGCAGAGAGCGAGGGCCAGGCTGCTGCTGATTCAATTCAGGCTCCACAGGGTGAGGGGGAAATGGCTCCCCTCCCTTTATTTTGGTAATTACAATTTTTGGAGAAAATTCTCATTTAAAACTGATTTTTTTGGTGTGTGTTTCAGCAACTGGTTTAGTCCCCCCCTCCCTTTTTTCTCCCCGCCCCCTTTTCCATTTTTCCCCTGAGAAAAGGAGAAGGGAGGCGAAAAAATGAGAAAAAGTCAATATTCAGGATTTTTTTGTAGAAAAACTAAAACTAGTACAATTTGTCATCCAATAAAGTCCCAGAACCTGCCCGACGGGACCTGGGACGGGTCTGCCCCTAGGACCGAGGTGTCCTCCATCCCAGACTTTCACCACCAGCCCCTCCTCCTTTCCGGATGCAATTCGGGCTATAGTTCGGCTTAGCAGAATGCGATTTTTATTCTGTTATAATGTCGCTGGGTAATACTGAGGTTCATTTGGAAGCATTTTCCCTCTGTTCTGATCGATGTACATTTTCCCAGATGTGGGAGATGGAGCGGGGGGGGGGGAGTGTCCGAATAATTCTTTAATGAGAGGAGACGCTGAGATTTTAAAGCTTTATAACCATTAAAACACAAAGTGTCAATATCCCGTGTCGAAATATACAGAGTAAATCTCCTCAGATCGAACTCGAATAAGTTCCCAAGGAGCATTTTCTTGCTTTGCCTCACTACAAATTCCCACGATGATCAGTGGAGACCTGTTTTCGCCGGTTTGTGTGCATACGATGAAATGGACGTTTGCTGACATTTGCCCCCCCCCTGGAACCAAACCCTTCCACCCCAAACAATATGAGGCCTTGGAGCATTCAGGGGTGCACCCCAGAAGCGAGTTTCTGCCCCTGGTCACGCGTGTTGGCATGTTGGCCATGCGTGCTGCTTGCATAGAGCTTTTTGTTTCGTGGGTGCAGGTTATCAGGACTGGGGGGTTCCCATGCTCTCCATCTGGTTGTCCCTAGGGCTGGTCCCCCCCCCAGTTCCCAGTAGGGGAGTGCTAGCCATACGACATGAAAGAGAGAGGCCGCACCGCCGTCACAGAGGTTGCTAGGATGGGCTCGCTTGGTCTGGTGTGCACCTCTGGTGCTTAGCGGAGGCTGAGTGCCCCGGGGCTGTAGCACCAGGCTCGCCCCCTAATCACGCCTTCGCGCCCAATCCCAATCTGGATCCAGCGCTCAAGTCTGCTCGGATGTGGGGATCTGGTTCACTCACTGGCTTCACTGGGAGCTGTGGCGAGAGGCTCTGGGTTTAGCCCGGTGGAATTTCCTGCCCATTTTCTAAGCTGAAAAGTTTTTGGCCGTTCAGCCAAAGCTTCAGAAAAAGTAACTTTCGGATGCCTCTCCTGGCCGACCATCTGGATCTCCAGGCTGCTCCCCTGACACTGGCTCAATAGTAAACCAACTCGCCCCTACTGTGAGGTCTTGTCTGTATCACAGGAGCCGCTCCAGGCCCCGACTAGGACCAGGGCCCCACTCACTCCCTTGGCCAGAGTCAACAGTCAGTCCCTGCCCCGAAGAGCTGACGGGCTGAACTGGCAGAGGGGGAGAGGGGAAA